GGACCGGCCTGGGTTCGGAGTTCAGCTCCAGCCGGGGGGGAGGGGAGGAGCCATCGCTTACCCTTTGCGCTGCAGTCCGCCCCCGGCCTGGGGAGGCGCTGCCCGGTCTGGCCGGGTCTTAGGGAAGGCCAGTTCCCGGGACCCCTGGGCTCCGCACCCTAGGGGAAGGGGCCGCGCTCCAGCCTCCGGGGACGCAGTGGAGGCGCCGAGCCGGGAGTAAGGGGGAGGAGGAGGTCTCTGTCCGCTGCTGCCTGGTCGCGCGGAAGCTCGCTTCCACTTTTCTCGCACTTGCCAGCGCGGCGCCTAAACTTTTCGCTCTATCTCCATTTCCCGGAGCTGGGATGCAGCTTTCCTACCCGCGCCCGGGAGCCCTGAGCCTGGAGCAGGGGCTCCGCACTCCTTCCGCCGGCATCAGGCTCCCGCGAACCTGAAGCTCGGTCCTTGGCTCAGCCTAGCTCTTCCCCCTCGCGCCTCAGGGTCTCCTCGCTCCAAGGTTCCAGAAGTCCTGCGCCCGAAGGACTAAACTAAACTAAACTTGGGCTTAGTAATGGGGGAGGAGGGGGGGTGCAGATACACAATCCCTGCCCTATCTCGCGATCGGGAAAGGAGAGGGCTCATAAGGACGCCCCAATTCAAAAGCGCCCTTGAGTCTGGACAGTGCCACTGTCGGTTCGCGGGAAGTGGGTACCAATCTCCGAGCAGAGCTTTGTGTACTTCGGACACTTACTGCGTTGCCCATATAACCGTTTTCTCTTTCTCTTAGATTAGGTCCATTATTATTATGGTTAATCTAAGTCTTTGCGTGCGGGTAGATGTTTCTGTTTTTCATCTGCTCTATTTTTTAATTCTTGGTATAACTTCTCCCTTCTTTCACTCTTCCTGTTCACTCTTTACCTTTTCCTTTTTTCCCTCTTCTTTTCCCTCTCTTCTGCCCTCGCTCGGTCCCCAACACGCGCACACGCGCGCACACAACACACGCGCACACACACACACACACACTTCCGCCTCGCTCTCCTTTCTCCCCAGGTCCTGTTGGGTACAGTAGATTTTGATAAAAAGACAAACGAAGCTATCAGTGAGGCTGATGTTGAAGAATGAAGATAATAATGTTTCCATAGGTGGTGCTTCAAATGCCATTATTTCTCACTGAATATTTAAAGAGATCCCTCGGCAAAGATGGATCTGCAGGCTCCCGGGGGGGGAGCCGCTCGCTTCCCCCAGACCCCAGGGAACGTGTACAGGAGCACGTGTCAGTCCCGCAACCCGCAAACAGACATCCTCACAAACACACCCGCCCACACTCTCCCAGGTACACGGACGCGTCCGTGTGCACTTGCACACTTGTTTGCCCGAATATGCCCGCGTTGGGAGCGCCTACATTCGTCTCTAACAATCTTGGCTTCATAAAAGTCTGGGCCTCCAGGGCACCGCGTGCTGCCCGGAACCGAGCGGAGCTAGCGGTCCCCGCAAATCCTTCTTCCCGGTCCCTGCCGCGTGCGCCCTGGGGAGCTCAGGGGAATAGCTTCACACTTGTTCGTTACTTGTTCTATGTGTAACATTAAGGAGGAGGGGGACCTTCCCTCCCACCTAAACCACCACAACAAACAATCGAACGAAAATGAACATGCGAAAGCAGCTTCGCGACGTTTAATTAAAAATGGGTGAGCAGTGACGAATTAATTGGGGAGATCCAAACTTTAATAACTTTTTTCGTTCTTTTGCGTCTTCGACGGCGAGGTGGCGGCTGTCTTGCTTTGCGCGCGGCGTCCCCTGCTAATTTCTTGTTTGTTTTCTTTCCCTCGGTGGCCCGGGGAGAGGAGAGGGGAGGTGGAGGCGAGGGGGATGGGGAGAAGGGATGGTCGGAATGGCGGGGAGAGGAGAATCGGTCTTTATGGTTGATGGCGAGACATCAATTACGAGCCATTGTCTCGGGCCCAAGTTCCGTGGTTCGCTGACGCGGGCGTCTCGGTGTCAGGGCGCTGGAGAGAGGCTCCGCGCGCCGCGCTGCTAAGAAATAATTCAATCAATAATAAGGAGATATGATGGGGGTTAATTTTTATTTTTGAGGGGGTCGAAAGAAGGCAGCGAGTGCGACTGAGGTGCCACAGCTGGAGTCCCTCTCCACGCCCTGCTTCCTCCGGAGACCTGCGCGCTCTACGTGGGGTCGCGCCCTCCCAGCCCTGGGTGGGGCCCCTGCTTGAGGAATAGGAACGAGGATGCTCGGACTAGGGAGTTCCTGGAGAGGAGAGCCTGGCACTTAGAGGATGATCCGCAATAGAAGATGGGGGTGGCCCGAAGTGAGGCAGCAGCTGCGCCAGGGTCACGACCTCGCAGGCCAAGAAGTACCGCACCCGGGGGTTGCGCTGGGCGAGTTTTGCACACTCACATCTTAGGGGATCGCTCTCTGTTTTTACCAATACGGCCTCTCACTTTTCCCAAGATCTACTGTGTGCTTGATGGGTTGGTGCGGCCAGAGGGCTTGCCCTAAGGCCGCGCAGGTCACTTCTGCGTCCCCAGTGAAGAGTTTCCAGGCTTATTCTCCCCATCACCCATCTTAGAAAGGGGAGAGGGTGTTGGGGTTCGCCATCCTGAGGCCTGGTTCTTTTACCTGCAGAAGTACCTTATTCTGGCCCAGTCTGACCCCGGGTCTGGGATGGGGCCTGGGATGAGGCCTTCCTTGTGCTCCAGAGCCTCTTTCCCGTTCTTTTCGCACTGGTTGAAAACCCTCCCCCAAACTAGAGGACGCCCCCAAGCGCCCTGGCAGTGTTGCTACTTCTCAGTTCCCGGCCCCCAAGCCCGCTGGCCCCTGGCCGAGGCTAGGAGGACAGTCGAAGAGGTTTCGTTTTCTTACGCCCAGCAAAAAGCGGCGAAAAGGCGGCAGCGGCGCCCCGGGGGCGGGGGAGGAGGCTGTGATAGTATCAACATTATTGATGGGGAAACGTTCGAGGCAGGAGCCCGGAGATCAGGTTCCCAGTCCCTCCCCTACCCGGAGGTGGGTGGGACAGAGCGGGTGGTGAGGTGTGTGTGTGTGTGTGTGTGTGTGTGTGTGTGTATGGGGGCGCCTGAACGCACCCGCCTGAAACACTCGGTCTCTATTTGTACTTTCACTGTCTGAAAGTTTGGAGGGGGGGTGGGCGGGAAAGGGAAGGGAGTGCGGGGTGGTTTGTACCCTGGACCTTCGGACTCT